ACAAGTACTCGACAATTGCGTAAACGATGTGCGCGTTTGCGTCACAGTCAGCCGAATCACTTCAGCGCCATAATTATGAGGAGTGGTGGTACGTCCGAGCGATAGCTTAGGAAGGGAGTGTTACCATTTACGGAAAAACACATCATAATGTTGAAATGGCAGCAAGGGTTGAATTGAACTCGACCACGTAGTTTTGGCAATTTCTGCATTAAGGCGCCGAATAATTGAGAGATATGGTACCGTAGATGGCAAAATTACTTTGGAAATGCCTCATTATCACGGCCCTCAGGGTACCCGTTTTTTTTTTTTTTTTCTTTTTTTTCTTTTTTGGATGCACGGTGATATCACCAGTTTTCAGCGTAAGTACGCATATGCTCGACAACAAAGTCGACACTATTGTCCAACCATTGCAAGTTTGCGATTTAGCCAGCAGAAAAATCCATCGCTGTAATTGAAACGGGTGTGCGTCCCAATAGAAGGTACGGTAGAAGCGTGTTAAGTGCTTCACATCCCATAATAGGGGAAGAACGCGTTACTAATTATTATGAGGCGTACAAATCCGGCATACCGCATATTAATTCAGACATAATGATGCACGCGGACGGCCTCTTATGCTGCACGACACAATACTGCAAGTGTCATGCTCTGGCCCTTACACTGAATCATAATCTTCTTTGGGCCTTGTCTTTTTTTTTTTTTTTTTTTAAGGCCATAATCTTATAGGCCACCACAATCTTTTAACACCAAATCAAGAGTTACACCAGTAACTGCAATTTCAGTTTGCACATAGCAGCGAGGGCAACTTCTCGTCCCTCATAGCTGTGGTAGTTGCTGTGTCGTCAGGCAGAGCAGCACCATCTCGATCTCGATAGCACCAGCAAATCACGCCACAGCAGATGCGCTATTGAGGCAGCAGCAGCGACCGCACGCTAGCAGCGGCGATCGTGCACCAGCAATGGCGATCGCAGGCCAGCAAAGGCGATCGCGCGCCAGCAGCGCAGATCGTGCCCAGCAGCAGCAATTACGGAGTAGCTGCAGCGAACGCGAAGTAGCAGCGGCGATCGGGCAGCCGTAGCAGAAGCGATCGCGCAGCAGCAGAAGCGACCGCACAGGAACAGCGATCGCGCGGCAGCCGCAGCAGCAGCGATCGCACAGCAGTGGCGATCGCACAGCAGCAGCGATCGCACAGCAGCAGCGATCGCGAAGCAGGAGCAGCAGCGATTGCGCGGCAGCAGCAGCAGCAGCAGCGATCGCACAGCAGCGGCGATCGCACAGCAGCAGCGATCGCGAAGTAGCAGCAGCAGCAATCGCACAGTAGCAGCAACAGCGCACAGCAGCGGCAACATTGATCGCACAGCAGCAGCAGCAGCGGCGATCTCGCAGCTCCAGCAAGATTCGTGCGCAGCAGCAGTAGCGATCATGCATCAGCAGCAGATAACAGGATAGCAGTAGCGATAGGACACCCGCAACTGCAGCGGTCTTGCCACATGCCACCGTGAGTTTGTTCCAACCGCAACAGCAGCAGCCGTTGTCTCGCCATGCGCAGCGTAAGCAGCAGCGGCTCGTCTCATAGCAGCAGCAACCGTCCCGGCAGCAGCAGCAGTCATAGTCGCTGCAGCAGCATCGCCAGCTCCAAGAGGTCGCAACGACCGCAGCCGCCGAAACGAACACCTCCTATGCAGCAGTATCGAGGAAGATCGCCACTGGTAGAAGCAGCGGCAATATGTTCCGCGCAGTATGTTGCACGTAGATGTATCAGCAGTGTATATTATGATTTTGCCATACAAAAAACGATTTTTGTACTTGCAATTGCAGAAACTTCCAGCAGATATCGCTTCATTCGTAGAAGCAGCATGTACGAAGTTCTCGTCATGTAGGAGGTAGCAGCAATGGCGGGCGAGTTAGTCTAGGAGGGTGGAAAAGTTCCCTAGGTGTGCTGTTCTAGATTCAGATCTAGAAATGATTCGACTAGGTGGCAGGTCTGTGGACCTGCCACGAGATAAGGAGCAGATGACTCCTTACTGCATAATCCTTTACAAGTCTTGTCATAATCTTTAAATTTTGAAAATTGTATTTAAAAATTTTACATTTCTCAGCACCATGACGAAGACTTCCATCAGGCGCTCAGCAACACTCTGCGCGACGACCAATGGCAGCGCTCCTACCCCAACATCATGCTCCTGTGGCAAGCAGTCGGTGTGCTGCCCCTGAGCACGGTGGAGTGCGAGAGGGGGTTTAGCAAGCAGAACATTATAAAAACGTGGGGCCGGGGGGCTATCTCGGACACATCATTGGGACACCTAATGCGCTGCTCTCTCCTTGAGTACACCGTGGACTGGTTTGAGGTCGCACGCATCTTCCGTGGCGACAGAAACAGGCGGCCAATCCGAGACTTCACTGGCAGCAACCCAAGTAATACTCAGTTTAACACGGCAGCAGTCCCTGACACCACTGCAAGTGCAGACCAGCAGGAGGGACCCGAGAATGAGTGATGTGTTGTCTTGTTAGTGGTGGTTATGTTGAGTAGAGTTGCATGTAGGGAAGTTATTAGGTTGTGCCAGTAGGACTTTGAACTAGCAATCAGAATGGTTTTTTAAATACCCTTACACACACAGGGTACTGGCTAAAACACACTGACTAGCTCAGGGTAAAAAATTTCCCACACTGATGGTCAGGCAAAGGGCACTGGGGGACCCTGATATGGCAGGGTGCCCCAAAACCAATTTTGGGCCCTGACTGCAAGCTATTGGTTCATACACTCTGCTGGGGCGAGCATGACACATTCCTATGCGAAAGTGACGTGTCCTTGCCCTTGTGCGCCGGCAGAGAATCGCCCTCGTGCGATTCTGATTCAGAACGCTCCACATATTTCGATTTGAATGAAATTGCAAGACTCTAATGCACAGTTTGGTGCGTTTATAACATATTTTTGTGTTTGTCTTTATATAAGCGCATGCGCTTATAATTTAAACTCATTTATAAGCGCACCCCCCTAAAAAACACTGTTTTATTATAAGCGCAGATGCGCTTATATCCGGGGTATTACGGTAAGGCTTACATTCATACGCTGGAATGTACAGTTGCGATTTGAAAAATCGGAAGGTTTTTGTCATTATGCCGGACGTTGAGATGCTAGTTTGTGGGTAGCAGCCGGGGAAACGTGACGCTCTTCTTGAGAAGGGAAAGTGCAGCAGTAGACTGCTGTTCAGAAGCAAGGTGACTTGTGAGTTGACTTGAGACAGTTTCCGAATGGTGTTGTGGAAGATGGTGGAAGAGAGGCCCAGATGGGACAGAGCACAGTGCCGGAGAAACCACCTAACGCCAAGAGAGAGATGGGCATGCGAGTCATGACCTTGGCGTTTCAGCTGCTGAATAGGGCCAGCAGAGGGAAGGGAGGGTTGAGGCAGGCCAGGAAGAGAGTGCAGGAAAGGGCAGGGAAGGGACGGAGAAGATGAAAGCTCAGAAGAGGCAGATCACACTGCCTGGAAGCCACCGAATTGAAGAGGACCGACCGATCCACTGTTCAAAGGATCCTTGTCAGTGTTATTTGCGGTCATTGGCCCTGCGCCCTATGGATTGGGCCCGTTTAGCTAAAAGGGAAATGGAGAAAGCGAGAAAGTGCACGAATATGGATATTCTTTTTTCTGATTCAGAGAAATCCTGCCTCGTGCAGCTTAGGGAGTTGGGCTTATGCAAGGGCAGGATGGGCAGTGACCTGGCAAAGTTGTATATCACAAGCGATTGCAGTGAAGACCAAAGCCAATGCACGGGCATGGTGGGGAGATGATGGGACGATGGGGTGATGGGGTAATGGGATGGAGGGGTAATGGCTAGATGGGATGATCGGGTGATAGGGTGATGGGGTGATGGTCTGATGGGGTGGTGGTCTGATGGGGTGATGGGATGATGAGGTCATGAGGTAACAGTGCAATGGGGGAGTGATGGGATGATGGTGCGATGGGGCGATGAGATGAAGTGACTGTCTTCTCCACATTGAAGGGTGGTCATAGGGGACAATAGGGTGCCAATGACAATGGTGGCGCACCAGGCAACAAATGACAGCAAAGTACTGATTCTGTAGAGGCAGATTCGTTACAAGGCACTAACACCTCAGTGTAGAGATTGGTTATTGGTGTGTGAATATAGAAATGGCAGGGGATGGATGCTATTGGGGGAAAGGGTGGCCAGATAAAGGTGGAGCACGGAGGTGGGAAAGGCTATGGGGATTGGGATTGGGGAGGGGACGTTGACGGGGAACAGGATAGGGGAGCGGATGGGGAAAGAGATGGGAATGAAGAAAGTGGTGGCGATGGCGAAGTGTAAGGTGAAAGGACGGGGATGGGGGCACAATGATGGAGAGCGATGGTTGCACTATGCAGACCTGGTGAATGACTGGAAGAAAGGGGACCAGTGGGAGGGATAGACCGGTGTGGTGGGTGAGAGAGAGAGATGCAGTGAGTGATCGGACAGGAGTTGGGCAGGAGGAATGATGGTCCTTGGATTACTAGCACTGCCATTGGGCAATGGGCAGTCCGCCTCAGGGCGTTCAGCCTCGGGGCGTTCAGATGCGAGAAATTCGTAGGTCATGCAGCACACATGGACGGAGTATCGGGCAGCTTGATTGAAAAGCACCGACGCAGAGCAATCAGCCGGCCGACATCCAACCTCTCACCGATCGATCCCCCGCGAACTACCTGAGAGTGACCTGAGCCCGTGTCCCTCTCACCACGCACCTCCTTTTCCCATGGAAGAACACTGCCACAGGGCACCCAGCAAACCCTTCCAGCAAACATCACATGCAGCTACAGCAATGGCTTGCTAATGATGCACGCACAAGTAGCTTTCACCCGTCTCCCTACACACTCACTCTCCTTCCTCATCTGCTCCTCCTTGAGGAAGGAAACTGCCACGAGGCACCCAGCGACCCCGCCCAGCCTCGCCTCACCCGTGACCCACTAGTGACACACAAGCATCAAACAGCCCAGCCCACCACCTCTGACTCACTCAGAACGCACCTCCTCCCTCTGCTCGCTCCTCCCCAAAAACCGCCAAGGGGCACCCAGCAGCCCAGGCTCGCCCAGCCCACCCCAGGCTCGCCCAGCCCACCCCAGGCTCGCCCAGCCCACCCCAGGCTCGCCCAGCACCACCCCAGGCTCGCCCAGCACCACCCCAGGCTCGCCCAGCACCACCCCAGGCTCGCCCAGCACCACCCCAGGCTCGCCCAGCACCACCCCAGGCTCGCCCAGCACCACCCCAGGCTCGCCCAGCACCACCCCAGGCTCGCCCAGCACCACCCCAGGCTCGCCCAGCACCACCCCAGGCTCGCCCAGCACCACCCCAGGCTCGCCCAGCACCACCCCAGGCTCGCCCAGCACCACCCCAGGCTCGCCCAGCACCACCCCAGGCTCGCCCAGCACCACCCCAGGCTCGCCCAGCACCACCCCAGGCTCGCCCAGCACCACCCCAGGCTCGCCCAGCACCACCCCAGGCTCGCCCAGCACCACCCCAGGCTCGCCCAGCACCACCCCAGGCTCGCCCAGCACCACCCCAGGCTCGCCCAGCACCACCCCAGGCTCGCCCAGCACCACCCCAGGCTCGCCCAGCACCACCCCAGGCTCGCCCAGCACCACCCCAGGCTCGCCCAGCACCACCCCAGGCTCGCCCAGCACCACCCCAGGCTCGCCCAGCACCACCCCAGGCTCGCCCAGCACCACCCCAGGCTCGCCCAGCACCACCCCAGGCTCGCCCAGCACCACCCCAGGCTCGCCCAGCACCACCCCAGGCTCGCCCAGCACCACCCCAGGCTCGCCCAGCACCACCCCAGGCTCGCCCAGCACCACGCACCCCATTCTCGCTCGGCTCGTCTTCCCAAACAAAAACCGCCACGCGACACCCAGCGGCCCAGCTCCTTCCACCTCTGCCACGTCTGCAGCCTCTACAGTGCTTCCGTCTGTGCACCCACACCATAGGGGCGCGAGTCGGTGGGCCAGACAATCGGTGTAGGCGACGCAAGCGCCAAGCTGAGGGGGGGAGGGAAAGAGGGGCGAACAGCACTGGCTGGCTGGTGAGAGGGACGTGGGAGACGCCGAATTCTGTGGGGCAGAAGTCCTTGTAGGGGATGCAGGTGCGCAGCTGGGTGGGGGTACAAGGGGTGGAGGGGGTAAGGGAAGATGGTAATGCATGACAGCAAAAGGGTTGGGGGAGGTGGGAAGGGGGGAGGAAGGGAGAGCGCATGAGTGAGCAGCAGAGCATCGCTACCGAAGGGGCAGGAATCCGTGGGGCAGACGTTGGTGTAGGAGAAGCAGACGTGGTGCTGTGGAGTGGGGGATGAAAGGGAGAGGGTATGGGGAGGGGAGGAACAGTGCCAGGGTGAGAGCAGCATAGCGCCCGCGCAGACTGTAGGAGCCAAGTCGAGCCTGTGGGTCAGAACCTGGAATAGGGAAAGCAGGTGCCGAGTTGGAGGGGAGGAGGTGGGAGGGAAAGGAGGGAAAACAGCAGTGGCTTGTAAGGGAAATGTGGGAGACAGTGCCGTTGGGACATGAGTCTGTGTAGGAGAAGCAGGTGAGGAGAGCGACTTAGCTCAACCCACGTCCCTCTCACCACACACACACATCCTCTGCTCCTCTCTGAGGAAGGACAAGACATGCAGCCTTGGCAAGGAGTGCCCTCAGCAGCCCGCTGGTTCCCCGTGATCAGTGCGCCCGCCTTGCAAGGGCAGAGACTCATCATGGGCAGGAGAATCTGGTGGGAAGAGGAAGGGACCCAGGAAGTGCAGGGAAGGGTTGGGGGAGGTGGAAAAGGGAGAGGACGGGACAGCACCTGGGTGAGCAGTGCCAGCCAACATAGCGGCAGGAATCGCAGGGCAGACCTTGCTATAGGAGCTACAGGTGCGGAGCTTGAGGGCCTGGCTGGGAAAAAGGAGAGGGAAGGAAAACGTTATGGCGATGGGAGAATTCAGTGCGTGGGTAGGAGATTTGGGGAGTGGTGTGCGTCCGCACTGTGGGGAGCGAGTCTGTGCAGTGGTGTGGGATAGACGTGGGTGTAGGAGACGCAGGTGCAGTGCATAGGTGGGGGGAGGGGACAGGGATGGGAAGGGAAAGAAGGAAAAGGAGCAGTGGCTTATAAGAGGGATGTGGGAAAGAGTGCCATGGGGGCGCGAATCTGTGGACCAGAAATCGGCATGGGAGAAATAGGTGCCGAGCTGGGGGGGAAGGGGGGGAATGGGGGAAGGAGGGAGCAGTGCGTTGATGAGAAGGACGCAGGGAGGAGGGATATGAGAGACAGTGCGGTAGGCGCGTGAGTGTGTGCGTCCGTGGAGTAGAGGGTGCGGATCTGAGGGGGAGTGGGGATAATTGTGGAGAGAGGTCACGGGGAAGCAGGAAGGGGGAAGGACGGGGTAGTGCGAGTAATGCGCTTGTGCTGTATGGGCACACAAGTGCGCAGCTGAATGGATGAGATGGGAGGGGATGGGAATGCAGGCTGGTGGGGAAGAGGGAACCATTATTGGGAGGGAGGAGAGGTAGTTGGAGAGGGGAACGAATTTCACCTCCTCAACTCACCTGGCCTGCCCTCAGCTCCCTCCACTCACTCTCACAACCATCCCATAGGCACTCACAGCGACTCCTTGTCGACTTCTCACTACACCGACTCGACATATTCCTACACGCTTCTCCCCCGTCCCCCACCGACTCTCACCTTGACAATCCCCAGCCCAGCGTGTCATGTGCCCCCGGGTCACTGCCGCCCATCGGTCACTCCCCCATTCCAGTCAGCCCGCGTGGTTGCGACGAGGCCGCGTGGCGAGCAAAGGGTCATGGCAGAGCCTGGCGCTGAGAGGGGGAGGGGGGGAGAGGGCAAGAGTGAAGGCTGTAAGGAAAAAGGAGGGGGTAAAGGAGGGAGAGGGATTAAAGGAGGCGGAGGGGAGGGAATGAGGGAAAGGAAGTGTATAAGGGTAAGGAGGGGATGGTAAGTGGAGAGTTCGAGATGGTTCTGAGGTGGTGCCTTAGCAAGCAGTGTGTCAATGCGAGTGGGTGCGAGGAGGGCATGGGAATAGCAAGCAGGAGCGGAGCGTGGTCGGAGGGTGGGAAGAGGGAGTTGGGCATGGGTGCGCGGGAAGGGGGTGTTGCAGGGTGTTCTCGACTGCACAATGGTCCACACCACATCGCCTCTCACTCATCGCCTTTCACTCATCGCCTCTCACTCATCGCCTCTCACTCATCGCCTCACACTCATCGCCTCTCACTCATCGCCTCACACTCATCGCCTCTCACTCATCGCCTCTCACTCATCGCCTCTCACTCATCGCCTCACACTCATCGCCTCTCACTCATCGCCTCTCACTCATCGCCTCACACTCATCGCCTCTCACTCATTGCCTCTCACTCATTGCACAGACTGCCCCTCTCACTCGCATTAACTTCATTCCCCCCTCTTCCCCCTTTGTAGTCAACTCAAAAGTCAATTCAACCCCTATTTCCCCTTCCGTTCAACGCCCCTTCCTTCACAACCCGTTCCTTCAACCCCCCCCCCTTCAAAACCCCCTTCCTTCATCCCCCCTTCACCAGTCTCCAAGCACGAATCGTCATCCCTCAGAGCGGCTCACCTGGGTGGGATCGAGCGGGTCAATGATTGCCTGCCAGCCCCATCAGCAGCCCACCCTTCACCGCCCCCTCGCCCTCCTTCCCGCTCTCCCAGCCGCCGCCACTGCCACTGCCAACGCCGCTAGCGCTGCTTGCCGGTGTCTCCGCCCGTTTCGCCGCCTGCCACAGCGCATGCGGCTTCCGCCGTTCTTTTCCGCCTCTGCCTTTTGAGAACCCATCCTCCGCCTTCACTCGCACGATCCGCCGCCTTCGCCGCGCGCATGATCCGGCTCCTGAATCTGCATTACCGTCTTTTCAGTCGCAAGCTGAAGCCGGGTTTCGAGTTCTCATACTCAACTTCGCTCGAAGATGGAGGTTGCTTCCAGTGCGGCTTCCGTTCGCCATCCCGTTCGCGATGTGCCGTAGAGGCAGCGATGCTGCTAGTCTAGCCACAGCCGCGCTTGTGATCAGCTCGGGATTTACTGGTACGCGAATTAGCAATAGAGAATCGGACTGAACTTATCTCGTGACCAGGACGGAGAAAAGTTAGAAATTCGTCACTGGGGATCACGTAAATCCCTGTATGCGGCTCAAAGAAAAGATGGGTGTCACACTACCGCACGCTTATCGTCCATCACGAGGAACAGGCAGCCTGAGCGTCGGCATACTACTTGTATGCGAGGCAAGAGCGAGAATAAGCACCTACAGTCCCATAAGCTTCGAGTTGCACGGAAGTGACAGTCTAGGAGGCATTTGAATTGAATGCAGGAGGAGCCGAAAAACATTCCTTTTCCTTTCAAGCTGGCAAAGGTTGGGCCGCCATAGCAAGAAGGGATTGACGAGCTGGTCTCATAGCAAATGATGAGCATCGCACGTTAGTGCCATCTTTGCCGTATTTATTCACACAATGAAACTCTGGACTGTCAACGCGCGATAAGCTAGGTCGCGGGATGAGCGGCTAGACCGCGGGCTGAACAGCTTGTTTACTATGTCGTCAGGTCGCCAGGTCGCCAGGTCACCAGGTCGCCAGATCTCTAGTAGCCATATTTCGCATTTTCAGTTATGTTAATTGTGTATGCTGAAAGCATTACAAAGTGGTCTTTAACGTCTCGTCTGGTTCCGTTATTGCGAGAGCGAATGACGAGGATTGTGTTCGTCAATAGGGTCAGCCACTGCCCTGATTCCTCAGAACTCGCAGACTTCGAGAGATTTTTGGTACAGCTCCACACGCCCTGCTGGCATGCCACGCCACCATCGGAACATTCGCGACAGAATGGTAACTTGAGGATCCGTTCGCAATTGTCGAGATCCACACCTCAAGGCTGAATGGGAGGTCGCAACTCGCGAATCCGACGTGGCGGGCGATGTTGACCTCTGTCAGCGACAAAGAATTTTGTGAAGCATTTCTGGCAAGAAACTCCCACCCTCACCTCTCAGTCATTTCATTTGCTTTCATTTACCAAGTTTTAGCTCCTCTCCATCACAAAATTCTGGGCCTGAAAACAGGCGGTTTTCTGTCCAACCAATTGAAATCCGTCGGAAAACGCTCAACTTGTTCCGACGGATTTCCAACGAGTGGCGCACTGGTATTGTCACTGAATTTTCCAGCGGTTTTCCATCTCGGAGAAGTTCGATGATTTCCGACGAAAAGCAGACACGGTTTCCGGCGGATTTCTGTCAAATGTCATATCTGCTACAGTTTGTTTAGGCTGTAGTGGGGTAGTTACTATGGGGTACAGTAAGTTTAGGGTTTCTCACTTGTACCCAACTCTTTCCTAGTTCAATCACTCTTGTTCATTCTGATATGGTATCACGAGCCTAGGTTGCCACCTAGGACCGCTTACTACTACGGGCCCACTATTCCGCTAGAAGCGCCCTCGTGCGCCCTACCTTACGTGCGCCCTCGTGCGTCTTTCTCTCCTCGTGCGCCCTCGTGCGCCTCGCCCTTCATTCTGCCTGCGCGCCGTCCTGCAGCCCTCCTGCTGCCCTAGGCCAGTGCGCCGCCCCTGCAAGCTAGTAACGCCCTCGAGCCGCCCCTGCAGGTCCGTCAGGCCCCCGAGCCGCCTCTGCAGATCCGTCAGGCCCCCGAGCCGCCTCTGCAGGCCCGTCAGGCCCGAGAGCCGCCCCTGCAGGCCCGTCAAGTCGGCGTGCTGCCCCTGCAGGACCACGCCGCCCCTGCAGGCCCTCGCCGCCCGCATGCAGCCTCTGCAGGCCCGTCAGGCCAGCGCGCGACCCCGTCAGGTCGCGGTCGCGGCCCCGTCAGGCTGCAGTCGCGGCCCCGCCTGGTCGCGGTCGCGGCCCCGCCCTGCCGCCGACGCGGACGCGGCCCCGCCCTGCCGTGACGCGGCCCCGCCAGCCCTGCAGCTGACGCGGCCGCGCCCTACTGCTGACGCGGCCGCGCCCAGCTGCTGACGCGTCGCCGCCCCCCTGCCCGCCGCGTCGCCCTGCTCGCGGCGTCGCCCCTGCCCGCGTCGTCGCCCCCTGCCCGCCGCGTCGCCCCTGCCCACGGCGTCGCCCTGCCCGCCGCGTCGCCCCTGGCCGCGGCGTCGCCTTGGCCGCGGCGTCGCCCTGCCCGCCGCGTCGCCCCTGCCCGCGGCGTCGCCCCTGCCCGCCGCATCGCCCTGCCCTACCCCGCGCCTGGCCCCTGGAGCAGCCGCCCCTGGAGCAGCCGCCCCTGCAGCAGCCGCCCCTGGCCCCTGGAGCAGCCGCCACTGCAGCAGCCGCCCCTGGCCCCTGGAGCAGCCGCACCTGCAGCCGCCCCTGGCCCCTGGAATGGCCGCCCTTGCAGCAGCCGCCCCTGGCCACTGGAGCAGCCACCACTGCAGGAGCCGCCCCTGGCCCCTGGAGCAGCCGCCCCTGGAGGAGCTGCCCCTGGAGCAGCCGCCCCTGCAGCAGCGACCGTCTCGGAGCTTCCTGCCGCGGTCGCGGCCCCGCCCTGCCGCTGTAGCGGCCCCGCAGTCGCCTCCGTCGTGCGCCTGCCCTTCCCACCACTGGTGAGCACTGCCCTGCCTGTGCTGCTACTGCTGTTACTGCAGCTGCTACTACTACTGTTGCTCCTGCTGCTCCTGCTTCTACTGCTGCTCCTGGCGTGGCCAGATGCAGCTCCAGGGCCGTCCGCGTGTGTCCCTCACGCCCCAGCAGCTTCGTGAGTGGTACGCCAGTTGGGGTTGTCGGGGTGGCAGTAGTGGGAGTCGTCCTGGAGTGGGTAGTTCGGGAGCTTCTTGTAGTGGCCCTGTGCAGCAGCAGCGTCGTCCGCGCGAGACTCTTTCGCCCTAGGATCTTCGTGAGTGGTACGCTCAGAGTAGAGGGTCGCTGAGTACTGCTCGCTGCCCGTACGTTATTAGCACGGGTGTCCGGACTGGTCAGCCTTGCGGGACGCGTGGTCACACAGAGTCCCGCTGCTTCGCCCGTCTGAGCGACGCTTGGCGTACAGAGTTTGGTGACGACGCTGAGCTCCCCGACTGGGTGGAGCTGCTTAAGCAGAGGGTAGATATCTTTGCTCTTGACTATGATGTTGTTCTCACTGCAATGTATGCATTGTCTACTAGTGCCGAGGGAGCCTGTCACCTGTGTGTGCCGCCCGACCCCGGTATCCAGTCTGCTGCTCCAGGTGCCGGTGAGGCTGCCGCTCTAGGTGCTAGCGCGTCTGCTGCCTCAGGTCCTGGTGAGGCTGCTGCTCTAGGTGCAGGTGTGTCTGCTGCTTCAGGTGCTTGTGAGTCTGCGCCTTCAGGTACTGCGTCTACTGAGGCACTGCACACCTTCACACTGGACTCAGGTGCTTCCCGCTGTTTCTTTCGCGACCGCACTGCCCTTGAGCAGCTCCCTAGGCCGGTTGCTGTCTCCCTGGCTGACCCCTCCGGGGGTCCGGTCCTTGCGACCTCCACCACTGCCCTCCCTTGTCCTGCTGTCCCGTCCGGCACACTGTCGGGCCTTTACCTCCCCTCGTTCTCTACAAACTTGGTGGCGGGTTCCGCGCTCCAGGACGCGGGTGTTCACCAGTTCAACCCTGCCTACGAACGTGTGACACACTGCACGTGTGCCCAGACGGGTCGTCACATGGCTACCTTCACTCGGCA